AAAATCTATCTGTTAATTTCATTTATGGTAATATATGACAGCTCACATTATCTATTTTACCTCTTCTTAGATATGGTAGTTGCTTATGCCTCTGCCTAATGTTACATTTCTTGCTAGTTATGATGTAATATCTTACAATACAACAAAATATCCTCTTTTAACATAACACAATGTAATTTTTTCTGCATTAGGAACTAGTAGGAAATGCAACATGAGGCTAGAGGTATAAGCAACTATCAAATCTATGTATAGATAAAATAGACAATGTGAGCTACCTTATATTACCATAAATGAACTAACAAATGGATTGTTATTATTTTATGATTTAATTTTGTTGTCATGTAAAAGACATCCCAATGATGATAGTTTCTAACTGTAACTACTTACGTTTATGTCTGTTATGACCATCTTAAAATAAGACTAAGTTCATAACTATTGAAATAAATCTATTACAAAACTTATAGAGTTATTTATCAAGGAGAGACCGTAGAATACATAGACCAGGAAGTATGAAATGTTGACGTCAATGCACTCGAAGAAACATATTTGGTGAGTTTGACAAGATGAAGGGATTTAGCAAATCATTAGAACATAAAGCTACCCTAACCCTTACATAAGCTGCTACTGTTGGTCTCTTTTGTGGTTACAGGCAGAACCAAGTATTTCAGAACATAAAACTATATTTTCTATTTTAGCATTTCATTTCCTACTAGTTCCTACAGTTTCTGTGCTGCTGCAAATTTGTTGTGTTGAAAGAGGATACTCTGCATCATGCATGTTAATGAAATGTATATGTGAGTTCATTTTAGGTATTCTCCCCATGCCATTTTGCGCGGCAATGCATTGATCATTCTCACACCAACAGCTTAATTGCTGTATCTTGTGCCTTCTCCTTTTCCTCAAAAAAAAAAAATATTTGTAGTACATATTAAGAAAAAGATCCTGAAGGCTGACAACATTTGTTACTCCCAGCTAAAGACAGGGCTTTATGTGCAGACTGTGGACATCATGCAAGGATTTTTCTTATGGTTAGTTGGTTCATAAAAATGCTTTCTGGAGCTGCTGGTAAAATTTCAACTCTGACAGAAGGATTTACATTACCCATAGGATACTCGTACCACAACATGGTCGTAAAATTGCAAGTGGATTAATCTGGCACTATATTCACAAGCCCATTCAACACTTTTTAAGACATGATCATAAAATGGCAAGTGATCTTAATTTCTCTTTGTTATCTGTATCACTGCATGCATGCTTTTAAGCAACCCATCTGTTCCTCTTGTTTTACACCCTGTATTATGCTTTTTTATCATGTTAACATAGTTTGCACTGAGGATTTTACAATTAATTCATTCTGTTTTTTTGTAGGTTTTAATTGACAAACTATTAGAATCCATTACATATTATGTAGTTTAAGAGTTTGAGACCTGATCCAGACATCACTTATGGACTTTGAACATATGAGAGCAAGTTCCAAATCGAGCAACACAAGTCCAGAGAATGAAAAGGAACATACCCATGCAGCCATCATCGTCGATGACCATGATGTGACAAACTCAGAAATTGTACCTAAAATTGTGGAAGGATCCTTGTCGACTTCCCCTTCTTCAAGCACTTTATCAGATGAAGATTTCTTCCAGATAGATACAGGTAAGCACAGCAAGCCAAAGACAGGGCTTTATGAGATACCAAAAAAACAATTTGCAGTCTCCTTCTCATGTGGTGTAATATATGACTGTTGAACCCATTTTGTCAGGTAAAGTGCCGATTGGAACAACATTCTCTCCCTATGCTTCTGGTGATAGTCTTGGATCTGATAATTTTGGCATGGTTGGGGCGAAGCAGTCTCCATCAATTCAGTTAATGGGAAGAGCAGATGTCCCTGATCCAAACAGGATACCTTCTTCGGTATTCGATAGGACGAAGTCCAACGCACCGATGGAATGGAGTGTGGCTTCTAATGAATCATTGTTCAGTATCCACACGGGGAAGTCCGGAGATCTGACCAGCTTATACGGCAACCATTCAGATGGATTTCCTCCACCACTTAGCGGCTCTTCTCCAGCACGGAGTGTTGGAGTAGGATCTAGTTTCCGGCAACCGGTTGAATCTGAAGTAACAAGTGCCCAACCCAAGAAGGATGTTTTGAAGGCGATCACAGAGGAGAATGCCGAAAAAGATAGACCTTCTACGCTTGGCAATATTCCCCATTCCGATAGCACACCTCGATATTCTGATTGCGGCAGCGTGAACAGCTATCGTTCTTTTGCATTTCCGATGTATGTACTCGTTCTAACCCTCTGTCATTTAACTGGTACGTACACATGAATACACTGAGATTGACATACATGCTTGTGATGTCCATTCTTATTATCCTCGAATCTATTGAAGCAAAATATGAGATGCTTGAAGCCAGATAGATACAATTCAAGTTTGGCTATATGGTGCAACTACTGTTTTATATTAAGATAAAATTTTAATGATGCTGTGGGGATGTCAGATGTCTTGGCAATGAAATTTAAATCTGTAAAAATGTTTTTTTTTCTCCTCTTCTAAGTTAATCTGTTTCAGATTGACAGTGGAAGGAAGAAATGGATCTTTTAAAGGTGAATCTGTACAACCATTTGAAAAGGAGCAGACGCAGCAGCCTCAACCACAATCGGAAGAGCATCCTGAAGCAGACACTGCAAAAACAAAACCAGTTGCAGCACGAAGGACATGGCTCAGATGGCCTTCATGCTTTTCTTGTTGCTCATTCTGTTGTTGAGTTAGTGAGTTACCGATGCAACTCGATTACTCCTTTTAGTTTTGTTTGTTGACATCCATTTCTTGCCATGTCGACTGATACATCACTACAAGTTGATTGCTCTCGGATCTCATTTGGCTAATCCACCATACGTGGAAAAATGTATTTATATATTTCTATGAGATGATGGTAATTCCAAATTTATCACCCTTTTCATTATTGGCAATGAGTATCCAAGTAAACTTGACAATAATTTTCCCTCTATTACAGGAGCAAATGGGGGAAGGCCAGTGTTCTGAGTGCTGCCCTGGAGATGCTGCAGTCATCTAGCATTTTTTTCACTCTTTCATTGCCTTGGCTTACAGCTCTATTGCTTATCTTGGATTCATGCACAATGATAAAAGATTCAAGTGACCTTAAATTATGTTGGTGATGACCAGCAGAATGTGTTCATTGTTTCTGTTGATATGCTTTAAGGAAATGCATACAAGGTGGCCTCCAATGAAGCAAAAGGGTGATGAAAGTTCTTACAAAGACCAGAACCAGAACCAATTATATGGATACCAATTCCAATAATGTTGTGATCCTTGCTTCATGTGTAAACAGTGTGTAAACTTGCAATTATATGGATACCAGTTCCAATAATGTTGTGATCCTTGCTTCATGTGCAAACAGTGTGTAGACTTGTGTTCTGTACCATTAAAATAGTTAACCTCAGTTGACTATGAAAAATGATCCCTGAACTTACTACTGCAGTCAGTCTACTGCAGGAATTCTAGCATATTATGGCTACCTTCCTACTAACTCTTACAGGTGATGAGCCATGTTTTCTCAAGATTTGCTAGTAACTGTTTCCTGTGGGTTCATTCTGGCAGCGACAGTCATACTCTCCATAACATTCTGATAAAAAGTCAGGCATGCAAAACTTGATGAAGGAATCAATCAAGGGTTGCTCAAGTTTCTGTTTCTGAAAAGGAATTCTGATTCTTGAAGATACATTTTGAGTAAGAAAAATTACTAACCACCCAATACGGCTAGTTGGAAGTCATGGGTTTTCAGCTGAGAACATCAAATGTTTTTGTCACACACTTAGATACACAATTTATAAATAATTTATAAAGATACTATTCAAGCAGGGATGGGAGCTGGAAATAATAAGAGACAAGAAAATATCATCCACTTGACCTAAGGTTTGCTGAGTTTGCAAATATGCAAGATAAATGGAATATTGGGCAGGTTTATATTTAATCTTTATTTATGCTCTCCTATAGTAGAATTAATTATAGATTATCTCTTGTAGTTAAGGACCTTTAACATTCCGATCCCTATACCTTAAAAGATTATATTGATATCCCTATAGTTATAAAAGTGAAACATATAGATCCATTTGTCCTAACGATATTGGTTTTTATCAATAGAAACACGAAAACAAAAGATAAAATGATAATTTTAACATTTTAGTTGGTGGTGGCGGATGATGATATCGCTAGAAGCCACGGGTGATTATTGTGAATGAGGAGAGTGACAGTGAAAGGTAAGGATTGCTCTACATCTACGTCGACATCAACGCAGTTATCGAACAATCAAAGGGCCACTGATGCAAATGCCGAGTAGTGCCGCTCGACAACTGCATTGACGCTAAAGCAAATGCAGAGCGGCATCGCTCGACATCTACATCAATGGTACTTTCACTGCTCGGCAACTACGTTGAAGCTATTGCATATGCCAAGCGATCCTTTCGCCACTCTGCATCTACGTCAATGATGATGTAGATGTTGAGTGGCCCTTTCGCCACTCAGCAACTCCATCGACGTCGAAGCAACGAAAGGGCCAACGATACAAATGTCAAGTGGCCCTTTCGCTACTTGGCAATTGTATTGACATCAACACAGATGCAAAGCAACACAGATGCAAAGCAGCCCTCACCTCTCACCGTCACTCTCCTCATCCACAACAGCTACCCGCGACCCCAACGACGTCACCGTTCACCACTACCGACGTCGTCCGTCACCACCAACTAAAATGTTAAAATTATCTTTTTGTCTTTTGTTTTCATATTTTCGTTAATAAAACCAATGACATTAGGATAAATGAACCTATTTGTTTTACTTTCGTAACTATAGGGATGTCATGTAACTTTTTAAAGTATAAGGACCGAAATGCTAAAAGTAACTATCTACATGAGATAATATGTTATTAACCTCCTACTACACTTTACAACTTCTTGTTGAAATGAACAAGAACTTTGAATAGGATATAAAGTAGAAGAGAAACATGTATCCATGATCTTCTATGAGCTTATGATAATGGTCTTCATATAATGAAATAAAAAGAACAAGTTAGGGCCAAAACCCAATTAATGGCATAATAGTAAACGCATAACAGTGAGAACATCACAGAACTATACTTGAACGTGACAAACTACAACATATTCTTTCATAATCAGATTCTTAGAGACTTACATTGATATGATGCATGCTGGGAGTTGGTTTGAGGACATCATCTGACACTTGTTTCCTTTTGCCAATCACATATGTAATATCGACTCCTAGGTACAACCATGGAAACACACAATACAGAGATTAGGGGAAGTATGAACTTACTACTGGAGTTGTATATCGGTATCATGCTTCAAACAAAAACTGATGTAGGATACAACATATCTGTAGAGGTCTTTACAATTTACTGAAAGAATCCATCCTTCAGTAAGTCATATTCATGCATTCTTCTCTCACTTTGTCGAATAGGTCTGTGCTCATGTATCTTTCCCCACCACTAGGGAATATTGTGACAATCATCTTGCCCTCATTCTCTGCTCTACGAGCGATCTATATCCAGTAAATCATTAGAAACAGAAAGAAGAAAACAAAATTGTATGCAAATTTTTTTTCAAAATTCAACAAAATCAACCTTTAGGCATGCTGCTAAATTGGCTCCCGAAGATATACCAACAAGTAATCCTTCTTCAATTGCCAGTCTTCTTGCCTGTGTCATTGCCTCTTCAGTGGACACAGTGATAACCTCGTCGATGTAAGATGTATCCAGGTTCTTTGGAATAAAACCTGCTCCTATCCCCTGAATATTATGTGAGCCTGGATTTCCACCTACATGACACAAACAGACTTTAACTTACTATATCTCCTCTTGTAGAAATCAATGACATCCAAAATTCTCAGAACAAGAGACACTGGTGCATGCTTTCTTTTTTCTCCATGCTTTCTATCACCGAGGCAAGTGTGCAAGTTAATTATATATGGTCAACATTTATCTCCATGACTGATGGAGAAGTTATTTCACTGGCATGATGAGGCAATTAAGCACCTATTATGATTAAGAAAAATCACAATGGGGAGTAAATGCAAAAGATTTGACATCTTAGGCATAATATAATGACAGGATCAATACGACTAAAAGGTGGTTGCTGTAAATTTTAGTTAAAAAAATATCACCCATGATAATAATTGTTTCTTGATGAAGAATAAAACCCAAGCTGCTACCTGGTCATGTTGGGTTACTGATTAAAACGTATATATGTTAAAGCATACATTAGGCTCTTTCCTACTGACCTAAACTTTGGGATTTTCTTTGTGATTTGTAGTTTTCTAATCAAAATCTTTAAATTATATCATTAAAATCCTGCATCTGTCCCTCATAATAGTATCATTCTTATCTGGGTTTGCACCATATATTTAGTATGTACAATATTTGAACTTGGCAGCCTTTTCTGATATCATCCTAAATTTTTTATCAATGTCATTACATACAATAGTTCAAATCAATAGATGAAACATGATGTATATGTTACCTTAAGTTAAATATATTCTTAACAATATAAGTCAAAAAAGCATCAATAGTGAGAAATTTACTCGTTGTAGCCTGCAGATATTCATAGGAGGCTAAATTTATTTAAAAGTGTCACAACACAATGTGGGATCAAAATAAGGCTACCAACCTAAAGACCATGCAGAAATACACTAAGGTATGACCAGAGTTGGCCTATTAATCTTACCACATGATCTGATTGCATATGACAAAGTGATAAATTTACCTTCTATTGTAAGTAATTCATTCTTCTCAAATGTTCATACTGACTTTTGATTCTAAGGCTCCTTGAAATAAAGGAAAATCATTCAAAAAATTGAAATGGAATTTACAAAATCCACATAAACACACTACTTTGACTAGATACAATCTGGTACTCCAGAACACAAATCAAGTTGTACCTGAAATAACTGCACTCTCTGTAGGTTCAACACAAATGATTTTCAAATCTTTATTTTTCATCTTGAGATACTTGGCAACACCAGTGATAGTACCACCCGAGCCAGGACCAGATACAAAAATATCTACCTTGCCCGCTGTATCTTTCCATATTTCCGGTCCTGAGTCAAGTACAAACAAATTGTTAGCATATACTATTCTAACGCGTGCCTTTTCATTTACTGGATAGTGTTGTATAGCAGGCCAAATAGGATATTTTAAAAATCACTTAAAGAAAGAAATAGAGACAGCAACAGAAGTATCTTATGACATGCAAATTGCATATCACCTATTACAATCAATTGCAATAGATTATTAATCAAATTT